TGACTAAGAGATCAAAGGTTTAATGACTTAAGTTTCTATTTTCTTTCTTTTGAAAAGGCTAGTGTTATATGGAGAAAGTAAAAGAATCTATACTTCAAAACAAAGTCATATATTTAGTCAAGGATATAATATTGGTTATCTTACAGTGAAGACTCATAGGTACTATGAGATTGAATTTCACTTCTTTTCATTTTTATTTTTACTGCATTCGTCAAAGTAGTTTTAGAAACAGTTGGTGAAGCCTGTGCTAAAACAAAACAAAACAAAACAAAAAAAGAAGACAATTGTGAAAATAGTAATAATAAATCATAATATTAAATGAAATGTTATAAAAGCATATTTTTTAGCTGAATATGCAGGAAAGCACTGTTATATGTTGTACAAGAGTGAAACTATCAAATACCTTTTCCTTCCTGGGTGTAAAAGTTTTTTCATTTTAACACAGCAGACTGTGTGTTTAAGAGGAGTTGCTACTGGCAATGGATAATCTCAAAGAAATAAAAGATCAAATTGATTTGGCTTTCTAAAATAGTCTTGATTTTGACTTTTGTAATACATTTATCTTCCTATATGGTTTTTCAGGGGGGATCATTTCTAACCAGATTGCATTGTTTGGGCATGGACAAACTGAAATAATTACTCATGGGGTGATCAAACTATAATTCTTGACCATGACTCCTTTCTCATGCAACACTCTCTCAGATCATCTGCTGATATTAATTACTTCTGTGGTTTGTGTAATACTGAGTATCCCAGGGGTTCACACACTTGAGAATGCACCTGAAACACCTGGAGAACTTGTGGAACCACGGAAGGCAGGGGCCCTTGCCCGGGAGTAAATGAGGGTTAAAGCCTGGGGTTTGGATATCTAACAGCTCTCAGGTGATGCTAATAGAGCAGCTTTGGTTTATAAACCTTGCTTGGTTTCTAGTATCTGCATATTCTTCTCTCAGACCTGAAGGTACCTGTGTCTGAAACTCAGGGTACAGAATTTCTTATTTTCATCTTCAGGATCAGTGGAAATCTAAGCAGGAAGTATATACTAATCCAGTCCTCAAAAAGCCAACATCAAGTTCACCATATTTCTACATGTTGCTGAACAGTTCCAGTTCTGAAGGTGACTTTAAAATTGTTAATTATTCTCAAGTGTACCAGCCGTCTTCCTTTACAGTCTCCTTTGCGTCTTTTATTTTGTTCCAGTTGACTCCTACTATATCTTCTGCCTTCATTCTCTTCTTTATGTAATAGATTTCATATGTTTACCCAGATGAATTTTCCAAAACAATGCTTTGCCTGTACATCTTCCTGAGTGATTAGGTAAATTAAAATATATTAATGTTTTTAAGATTTTAATGTATTATTGAGATTGTAATTATGCTTAAAATCCTGTAATTGCTCCTGATGCCTAAAGATATTTCCCAACTATTGACCTATAAACTGGGCAGGTGATATTTCTTTCTAGAGCATGCTGCTCCTTTATTACATCTCTAAGGTCTTGATGTAGTTGCCCCTCAGATTCTGTTCATTGCATTCACGCCAAGGAATTTAGATTATTTACTTGTTGACAGTAGACCTAAGGTTTGGAAATGTGGGTGAAAAACAGACAGTGAAATCCTAAATAGGAAATTTAAGTCTCCCTTCATTTTCCTCTTTATGTCTCAACTTGTCTCCTGGTCTGTTCTTTGGAGAAGCTGGGTTTTACTCCCTACCAGACACACTTCTAAATGATTGTGTGACACCTTTCTGCTGCATGAAGTTTACTCTTGAATTTCATTACTTCATTCACATATCCATCCTTACTTTAAACTACTGCATAATCCCTTACCCTGTGTGGATAAAATAAGAGTTCCTGTGGCCAGGATTCTCACCTGGCCCTGGTTGACTAGCTCACTGCACACCTGTGGTCAATACATGGCTGTTGACTCTATATAAAGAGTTCCACCCAGTGCTCTGGGCATGACACGGTGGCAGGTCTCCAAGGCTGCAGGAGAGCAGAGCAGAGGCTGGAGTGGTGGCAGCGCTGAGAACTGAGGCCCAGAGGACAGCTGTGTGGGATGGCTGTGCAGGCAGAGAGGCCCAGAGGATGGCTGTACAGACAGAGGAGCCCAGAGGCAGAGACAGACTTGTTACATGCTGACTCACTCTGAGTGAATGAATGGGATTCTAGTGACTGAGCTGCCACCTGGAAATAAAGTTGGGTATAACCCTTTCACCCCAAGAACATTTTGCTGTCAATTTCCTTGGTCACATTGAATCCATAGTGAACTTGCCATGTGCTGAAACCCATTGGCAAGACATCCTCCTGTAGGTCCTGTGAATTTTTTCCTGAGCTTTTCCAAACCCCTAAAATGTCTCTGAATCTGAAATGTTTCTTTTATTGTTTGAACCCATTTGAGTAAAACTTTGCTGCCTATATAAGTTAGAACTTCTGTGACTTGTGCTATTGTAGTTAATATGTCTTGGGGAAAAATGGTAGTTCCTATGGCCAAGATCCTCACCAGACCCTATTTGATGATGTAATTGGCCTACTGCAAGGCTAATGCTTCCACACCTGTAGGAAGTGAGCTATTATTGACTAAGTCACTATATAAAGAGCTCTGCTAAGTGCTCTGAGTGGAGGCAGAAATGGAGGAGGATTACAGACCTGCAGACTGCTGGATACAGATGTGATTCTAGTAATTGACCAACTGCCAGGAGAATAAAGCCGGGTAATAAACCCTTTCAATCCAAAAACATTCTGTTGTTATTTCTTGGTCCCACTGAGTCCATAGTGAACTTGCCTAGGGCTGACACTCTCAGGCAAGACAGTGTCTGTACAAGTAATGTTTGATAATTGATTTTTTAAAAAAGACTAAGAAAATCGGCAATGACTTAGTGTCTTGTTGAAACAGAATTAGAACTAAAATTTTGGGCTTTTGAATTTAAAGCTATTTTCTCACTTGGTGCTAGTAATCTTGAAGTGAAAGAGGACTAAAAGGCTATGAAAGAGCCTATGTCAGTATCTTTTGTCTCAGAAGACTGGTTTGGACCTCTGTGATATCTGCCACAGGCATGGTGTCTTATCACCACCTTCCTCATGATTTTCTCAGGCCAACACTACAGGAATTAATAGTTATGAGTATATCCTTTGAACATTTCTTATAACACAGTGAAGAATTTTACTTGAGGTGTGTGTCTATGGGCTTTTATTTCTCTCTCCACATCTTAATGGGATAATGCTAATTATGTTTTAAATAGTTACATGTCATTTTTAGTGTTTACATTCATAAATATTTATATATCATTAGAATACTAAAAATTTTAATGCACATTTAATTTCATGAGGAAATTTTAAGGTCCTAATTAATTCAGCTTTTCTTCTTCAATTTTATTTTTTTTTCAATTTAGGGTTGACCCCTTATTTTTCACTTTAAAACTTCCCTAATAATTTTCTTAGTTGTTAGAATGAGGTGGTTGCATAAATGCAGTTAATTACTCTATGACCTTTACCTCCTTAAAATGTAATGAGAAACAAGAGTAGTAAATGGGAGAAAAATTTGGCCTTTGTCTACTGCAATACACCCTGTGAGGCATCCATATTAGCAAATGGCTTAAGTAGCTTGATTGACTTGACTAGTCAAATTAATTGGTCAAAGAAAGCAGCAAATTCCAAAAAGGGTTGGCTTGAGTAGTTTTTCTTGGTAGTCAAACCCAACTGAAAGCTAAAAAATTCAATTGCTATGGATATAGCACATTCAGGAAAATGTGAACACTGTAGCAGCATGGCTGCATTTAGAGATTTTGTTTTGTATGTCAAAGGAAGTAAGAAAACCAATAGATGTCTCTCTTAAAATGTTTAGCATTGTTAATAAAAAGGCTGAAACTTTGGCACAAATTTGCGTGATCAATCTGAATTATTGGTCTGATTTTCCTCCTATCTCAATCTTGAACATTTTGAAGGAGTGTGTTTCACCCTTCACTGGACCCCTTAATCCCATAAGGGAGCTAAGAAAATTGCAAAAATTGTACTGCAAAATTTATCTCAGAATTCAGCGGGTTATGACCTCCTCTTCTCATGTCAGCCATAAGCAAGGGATACTCTCTGGTAAGATATTCTCAAATACCGCATTTCCCTAGATGTAAGTAGAGGTACTTAGTTTTTATGATTTCATTGTTTCAGATGTTTGAATATCTAAGTAGGCTGCTCTATGTCGGTGTTACTTGTGTAAACAGTTGTATCCCTTGAGCATTGCCTATCCCATTCACTGTGACTGTAACTTCTTGGCAAGTGTTGCTAGGCACTGTATAAAAGGAATGTCCAACACAGGGTCAATGTTCATGGCCTTTTATGTAGCATCTTTTATGTAGTTCTGACATGCTCAAACTCAGCTTACTGGATTCACTGACACCTGCAAAGCGTTATTAGTTCAAGTTCAAATAAGGTTCCACTTAGCCCATTTACCATAAAATCTTTCTAAGTAATTCTGTACTTCCTAGCCTGGGTGTCTTAGTGTTTTCTACATGGCTGCCATACTTCTTAGAATGAAACAAAAGTATAGGAAAGATGAAAACTCAGAAAAAGTATGACAAAGGGAAAAAAAAAGGGTTGTAGAGCTATAAAAGTTCCTTTTGTCCTTTTCATGAGTTTTTATTTCTTTAGTAAGATATAGAAGAATTTGTAAAATATTCTAAAATTCTGTGATTCTCTGATATCATATTGTGACAAGTGCTCTGAATATTAAAAACTTCATTTTGGAAAATAAATTTAACAAAGTAAAGAGAATGATTGACTTTTGAATGTAAAAAGAGTGACTTGTGAAAACAAATGATTTTTCCTTTTTTTCAGGAAGACTTCAATTATTAGTTTGAAAATTCAAGTAATTTTTGATTTTGTTGAATGCATGCATTACAATTAGTTGTAACTTGAGTGCAATTCTAAATGCCTATCTAAATACATTGATATGATTTATTCACCTTTACATATAATATGCATTAGTAACCTATAAGAATAAGCGCACAAGGTGCTCACTTCAGTAGCACATATACTAAAATTCAAACAATACAGAGATTAGCATGGCCCCTGCACAAGGATGACATGCAAATTCATGAAGTATTACATTTTGTAAAGTTGTATGTCAATGACACTTCAATAAAAAATAAAAGAATAAGCACGCAAGAAATATTCACAAAATACTTGTTTATATTTTTAAACTGGCTTTATACAGTATAGAAAAGTACTAATTTATTAATACAGAAAATGTTTCCCAAGGTTTGCTCTTAAAGTTTATGTATTAAAAAAGAAGAAATTGACTCCTTCACCTGGCATGATGTTTGGCTAAATATTTTAATCATGGGAATGTAGTTTCTAAAGCTCGCTATGTGAATCAGATTTCTTGATTGGACCCATAATTTTATACTTTCTGCCTTTGTCCCTCCCCGCTCTGTATTGGTCTGCTTGGGCTGTCCTAACAAAATATATGAACTAAAGTGACTTAAATAACAGATAGTTATTTTCTCACAGTTCTGGAGGCTGAAAGTCCTAGATAAAGGTTCTGGCTTATTTGGTTTCTGGTGAAGGCTGTCTTCCTGGCTTACAGAGGTCTAACTTCTTTTGAGTCCTCACAAGACCCTTCATTGGTATGTGCATGTGGAGACAGAGAAATTAAGAGATCTAAGGTATCTCTTGTAAGGACACTAATCCTATTGGATCAGGGCCCCACCTTTATGAATTCATTTAACCTTAATTTCCTGAGAGGCACCATCTCTAAATATAGCTACACTGGGGGTTAGGGCTTTGACGTATGAATTAGGAGGTCACAAACTTTCAGTCTATAACACCCTTTTTATTTCCCTCTTCTCAGGTAACATGTCTTCCTTCAACGCTCTATCACCACCAACTTTCCTTTTGAAACTATATGGGGTATGTTTCTTCCTTCTGGTTTTTCCATTATTGAACTGTGCCAGGCTGCAACTCAAAAACCAACTGTATAGGTGCTGTGTTAGATGGCACCTGAACTAACCTTAACAATCTTAGAAACTGAGTCTCTTCTTTAGGATCTCTTCTTTTTCCTCCTTCCCATTTTCTTGTGGTTGGAAAGAGAGCTTTTCTGTGGGTATGGTAGGAGGAATAAAGGACCCCCCCCCCACTCCCAAGATGTCCAGGTGTTAATCTCATGAACCTGTGCATGTTATGTTCCATCACAATAGGTAATTAAATTGCAGATGAAATTACAGTTGCTCATCAGTTAACTTTTAAAAGTTAGATTATCCTGAATTGCCTGGCTAGGAATGTCATCACAAGATTCCTTTAAAGTAAATGTGGGAGGCAGAAGAGATGTTTAGAGTCACAGATGTCAGGAAATGCTCTTCTGCTCCTCTTGAAGATGACAGAAGAAGCCAGAGAAGTATTTTCCAGAAGCTGGAAGAGGCAAGGAAATCGATTATCCTTTAACAGCTCTAGCAGGAACACAGCCCTCTGTCAAGACCTTGGTTTTAGCCCATGTCAGACTTCAGATCTCTAGATCTGTGAGACAATAAATTGTTTTGTATTTTAAGCCAATAATTTGTGGTAAATTTTTTTTTTTTTTTTACTGAAGCAGGAGATAGATATGGTTGCTAAATGATCAGGTCCCTTTTTTACTATAAAACTGGATGGGAGCAGATTCTTAAATTTCTAATTACTAACACAGAATTTACCCCAACACCTCTTTCCTGAGAGCCATATTCCATCTTAGAAGGTAACCAGTGTTAAGTTTAAGTCTTATTCCTGGTGGTTGACTATCCCTGGTGGCCAGTTAAATCCACTTTCTGTTTCCCAGAGGCTCCTTGCTGTTTGGTATAGCACATGACATACAGGTAAATTATTGCTTTAGTTAAAAATTTCTCATATGTGGTTCTGAGACAGTCTTCATGAGAATCATTTGGGTGTGCCACCCAAGACTTACTGGATCAGTATCTCTGGGTTTGGGACTCTGGTTAATGTACTTAATGAGCATTTCAAGTGCTTTTAATATACAGCACACTAACATTTAAGATCAATTGTTCTAACTTATCACAGTGTATATGAGAATAATTTTTCCATATTTCTTAGATATTAAAATACTAGGTTTAACAATGAAATAATTGTACATGGATACATACCTAGAAATAAAAAGTACTTACTTATAGCTTCCAAATTATTATAAACTAGTAGTTATATGTTTCTGGGAAACTTTTCATCAAGCTTATATTTTTATACAGTATCTTATATATTAACCTGCTCAATGGCATTTTCCCTTTTGATCATTTTCAGGAAATCCAGTTTTCACATTTGATTTGGTGGTTTATGTATATGTCCATTGCTTCCTTGTGTTATATCATGTCATTCATCGATTGTTTTTCTCCTTGGGAGTATAGGCCACAAAAGATATTATAACTCTTAATAGATTTGCTTTCAGTATTTTTTATGGTTAAGAATACTGAATTCCTTAGTTCAGGGGACCACAAATTATGGCCCATTGCCTATTTCTGTTAATAAAGTTTTATTGAAACATAGTCACATGCATTTATGGATTGCCTTTGGCTGCTTTAATGCCATAACCACAGAATTGAGTATTTGTGACAGGAACTTTATGGCCCACAAATCCTAAAATATTTACTGTCTGGCCCTTTAGAGAAAAGTGTGCCAAACCCCATCTTAGCCCCTTATTGGTACCTCTTTTTAAAATTTATTTCCTGTCTAATTCTTACACCCAATTTGTGATATGTTTTGTCATCTTGGATAAAGGTGATGGCAGTACTTTTTTTATTATTAAGGTATCATTGATATACAATCTTATTAAGGTTTCACATGAGCAATATTGTGGTTTCAACATTCACCCATATTATCAAGTCTCTCCCATCCCACTGCAATCACTATCAGCATAGTAAGATGCTATAGAGTCACTACTTATCTTCTCTGTGTTATACTGCTTTCCCTGTGACCTATGTACATTATGTGAGTTAATCATAATGCCCTTTAATCCCCTACTCCATCCCCACCAATACTCGTATCCTTTGGTTACCACTAGTCCCTTCTTGGAGTCTGTGAGTCTGCTGCTGTTCCATTCCTTCACTTTTGCTTTGTTGTTATACTCTACAAATGAGGGAAATCATTTGGTACTTGTCTTTCTCTGTTTGGCTTATACCCTCCAGCTCCATCCATGTTGTTGCAATTGGTAGGATTTATTTTCTTCTTATGGCTGAATAATATTCCATTGTGTATATGTACCATCTCTTCTTTATCCATTCATCTACTGATGGACACTCAGGATGCTTCCATATCTTGGCTATTGTAAATAGTGCTGCAATAAACAGAGGGGTGCAAAAGTCTTTTTGAATCAGGGTTCATGTCTTTGGGTAAATTCCTAGAAGTGGAATTACTGGGTCAAATGGTATTTCTATTTTTAGTTTTTTGAGGAATCTCCATACTGCTTTCCACAATGGTTGAACTAATTTTCATTCCCACCAGCAGTGTAGGAGGGTTCCCCTTTCTCCACATCCTTGTCAGCATTTGTTGTTGCTTGTTTTTTGGATGTTGGCCATCCTAAATGGTGTGAGGTGGTACCTCATTATGGTTTTAAATTGCATTTCCCTGATAATTAGCAATGTGGAGCATCTTTTCATGCCCCTGTTGGCCATATGAATTTGTTCTTTGGAGAGTGTTCATATCCTCCCCATATTTTTATCGGGTTATTTGCTTTTTGAGTATTGAGGTGTGTGAGCTCTTTATATATTGTGAATGTTAACCTCTTATCAGATATGTCATTTACGAATATATTCTCTCATACTGTAGGATGCTTTTTTGTTCTGTCAATGGTGTCCTTTGCTGTACAGAAGCTTTTTAGTTTGACACAGTCCCATTTGTTCATTTTTGCTTTTGTTTCCCTTGCTCAAGGAGATGTGTTCAAGAAAAAGTTGTTCATGCTTATGTTCAAGAGATTTTTGTCTATGTTTTCTTGTAAGAGTTTTATGGTTTCATTTCTTACATTCAGGTTTTGGATCCATTTTGGGTTTATTTTTGTTTATGGATTTAGACAATAATTCAGTTTCATTCTCTTACATGTAGTTGTCCAGTTTCCCCAAAACCAGTTGTTGAAGAGGCTGTCATTTCCCCATCATATGTCCATGGCTTCTTTATTGTATATTAATTGGCCATATATATGTGGGTTTATAACTGGGCTCACTATTCTGTTCAATTGATTGATGGGTCTGTTCTGTACCCCAGTACCAAATTGTTTTGATTACTGTAGCTTTGTAGTAGAGTTTGGGGAGTGTTATCTCCCCCGCTTTATTCTTCCTTCTCAGGATTGCTTTGGCTATTCAGAGTTGTTTGTGGTTCCATATGAGTTTTAGAACTATTTATTCTAGTTTGTTGAAGAATGTTGTTGGTATTTTGATAAGGATAGCATTGAATCTGTAGATTGCTTTAGCAGGATGGCCATTTTGACAATATTAATTTTTCTTATCCATGAGCACAGGTTATATTTCTATTTATTGGTGTCTCTTTCATGAGTGTCTTGTAGTTTAAGGGTACAGGTCTTTCACCTCCCTGGTTAGGTTTATTCCTAGGTGTTTTATTCTTTTTGATGCAATTGTAAATGGTATTTTTCTGATTTCTCTTTCTGCTCGTTCATCAGTACTATATAGGAATGTAATAGATTTCTGTGTATTAATTTTGTATCCTCAAACTTTGCTGAATTCAGTTATTAGTTCTGGTAGATTCTTTAGGGTATTTTATGTACAATATCATGTCATCTGGAAACAGTGACAGTTTAACTTCTTCTTTATCTATCTGGATAGCTTTTATGATTGCCATGGCTAAGACCTCCACAACTATGTTGAATAAAAGTGGGAAGAGTGGGCATTCTTGTCTTGTTTCCGATCTTAAACAGAAAGCTATCAGCTTCTCACTGTTAAGTATGATGTTGGCTGTGGGTTTCTTATATACAGCCTTTATTATGTTGAGGTACTTGCCTTCTATACCCATTTTGTAGACAGTTTTTATCATAAGTGGATGTTGAATTTTGTTGAATGCTTTTTCAGCATCTATGGAGATGATCATGTGATTTTTGTCCTTCTTTTTCTTGATGTAGTGGATGTTGTTGA